TGTGTGTGTGTATCTATATATACATACAGGGAGAGAAGGAGTATATATAGGGTTCAATATTACCCACAGTTTAAGGTATTCAGTGGAGGTCTTGAAACATCCCGGCACATAAAAAGGGGACTACTATACTATGAAAGACTAGGGATGGATACCTCTTTAAATTTTCCTGCCTGTTACTTGTAGAAATAAAAGACCAACCAAATGAGAAAAGCAAAAGCTACTTGGCCCAAGCTTGCTATAGCAAGGGAGTCAGCCACCCTCACTTGCTTTTTGACAGAGGCTCAAAAGCAGACAGAGGAGTGGGAAAGCTTCACAGTGGGAAAAAGGGAAGGCTTCAGGCATTTCCTGATCGGAGGCTGATGGCCTGGGGAAGCTGTGGGCAGGCTCACTAGAAGCAGGGCATCCTATTTGACTAGTAGGGGGTGCATATTTAGCTTTCTCTGGTTCATCCTAAGTTGGAAGTGAAGAAAAACATTAGGGGTCTGTCAGTTATTAGTCAAATCCTGATCATTTGGGGCTGACTGTTAGAGCAGTTAATACATAGCTTTGTGTATTGTCTCTAGAGATAGCAACCTGACTTCTTGCAAGTCTGACATAACAGGCTGGTTTCCTGGTCTCTTTTAGATAAAGGGCTGGTTTTCTGGGCAGACTGCTATAAATTTTGAGTAAAAGTTTCATTTTTATGTATGGTCTGACCATGATCTGTATATTTAGCTTCTCAACTTTCAAAGGAAAAGAACAAAATATTGTTCAAAAAACACAGTTATCACAACAAAAAGTTATCTCTTTTGTATCTTAACATGACAATGTAAGTACCATTTCTTTATTATTTTTTAAAATCAGTTGAGTTCTGTTTATATAAACAAATTTTCCTGCTAGGGAAGGTAGAGACATGTGAGAAAAGACCTCCTATCAAAACTTCCTAGAGATGTGACTGCCACCTGAGGAAAAGCCCCAACAGTGCTCCTCTGAAATACAATGTTCTGTGTGGTTGGTGCAGAATTCTCTGGGGATGCGCCTCCCTTGGGTTTTGACATGTGAACCCTCGTCAGTCATCACCAGGTACACAATGCCTCCTTGCCAAAAATGCCAGACAGACCTGCAAACCTTTTGTTTCAATAAGAAAGAAATGTGTTTCAAAAGATGCGACTTGATGGCATAACCCAGAATTTCTTATGAAAGGCTACTTTGTATCAAATAAACAAATACAAGTCACACTTGCAAATCTAAATATAAGAACACTTAACTTTTTCTTTCTCTTTCTTTCTTTCTTTCTTTCTTTCTTTCTTTCTTTCTTTCTTTCTTTTTTTTGTTTGTTTTGTTTTGTTTTGTTTTTGAGATGGGGTCTCCCTCTCTTACCCAGGCTGGAATGCAGTGATGCAATTTCAGCTTGCTGCAACCTCTGCCTCCCGGGTTCAAGTGATTCTCCTGCCTCAGCCTCCTGCAACTACATGCACCCACCATCACACCTGGCTATTCTTAATAAACAGTAATGTTGGTCAACCACCTGAACACTGCAGTGGGTCCGGGTCAAGCTTGAGAACATGTAAATTTCGCCCTCTCTGCCCAATACCTCTCCAGGGCTCCCAGCCCCAATACCTCTCTGACCACAGCCACAGTGAGACCTACCTTTGCTTCTTCTAGAGAATGAATGACCCCTACGTCCTCCAGGCCTTCCTGAAGCTCAGAAATGTCCAAGGTCCCATCCTCATTATAGTCCAAGTACCAAAAGAGATCTCCGTAGAGGGAGTCCATTAAGCTTATCTCCCTCGCAGTGCCCCAACCCCAGGGCGGTGGAAGTGTGATGGACCAAGGGGATCTCTGCCCCCACCACACGTCCAGTGGGAAGAGACCTAAGACAGCATCCTTCTCAGGGGCGCCAAACACAAAGCACATTCACCGGTTAAAGCGCCAGAAGGAGATGGGTCATCCTAACGGCTCCAACACAGAGGCGCGAGCGCGCAGCGCCCAGGACCTGCATGGGACCGCAGTGGGAGCTGCGCTGGCAGACTACGGAGCTCCTGCCGCACTTGCGTCTGATCAGAAGCCCTGGTTCCCACTCCAGGAAGAGTCTAGACCGGACAACTCATGCTCCTTTCCCTAGAAACTTACAGGGAGAACCCAGCACCGGGCCATCTCAAATTAGACATTCTTTTTGGAGAGAAGTCAGTCGGGAATGCTGGGACATGGACATAAGTGACTGGTGGTGGGGGCCCGCCAACAATTCAAAAAACTTGGCCGCACCTGTCTAGAAACTCTTCTTTTTTAAAATCTTTATAATGATTTTATTTTTTAAAATAAAATAATTTTATTGTAGATTCAGGGGTTACACCATCAGCTTGTTACAAGGGTATATTTTATGATGCTGGGGTTTGAGCTCCTAATGGTTCCATCACCCAGGTTGCGAACAAAGTACCCAGTGGAAAGTTTTCCAGCCCTTGTCCCTCTCCCTTCCTCCCTCTGTTTGGAGTCCCTAGGGTTTATTGTTCCCATCTTTATGCCCCCATTTACCCAAGGTTTAGCTCCTTTTTGTAAGTGAAAACATAGAGATTTTCTGTTTCTATATTAGTTCACTTAAGTTATTGGCTTCTAGCTGCATTCATATTGCTGCAAAAAACAAGATCTTGTTCTTTTTTTATGGCTGCATAGTATTCTATGGTGTATATGTACCACATTTTCTTTACCCAGTCCGCTGCTGATGGGTACCTACCCTACATTGTGTTATAGGAATCCTTTTCTAAGGTTGCAGCCCTAGAGAACTGCTGTAATAAAGACTAGGAACTGAATGAAAATCTGCCCACATGGGCTCTTCCTTCTGTGACCTACCTTCCCAGTTTTTAATCTTTTATCTTTATCCAACCCCTACAATGGCTCCAGGGCAAGCTTAGCCTTAAGCTGTTTGTGGCATGATTGGGAAGATGATCTCAAAATGGGCAAAAGTTCAGTGATCTCAGGTCCCAGAGAGAAGTCAGGAGATATTTATAAAGGCTATCTAGGGCTTCCTTTTAATCCTCACCCTCCAGAACCACAGAGGACCCTGGTTTCCCCAGACATACACATGTGATCCCTTATGCTGTTCCACCGGTAATGTGGAGGTACAGTTTCACAATAAAAACTCTCCACTTTTTAGGTAATTTATTTTCCTAAATGTGGAGATTGGGTACCCTAAAAAGTTGAATATTAAAATTCAAAAAGAAAATTTAATTTAGCCATTATCTGTTAGCTTTTGCTGTGCACCACCCAACATGTTAGATACTAGGAACACAGACTATCATGTTCTTGAAATACACATAGGTTTCCCTTTGGGAGGAGACTGCACTATGGCTGGTCAAAAAAACTACTGTATGCTTTCCAATAAACATTTCTCCCAGAGCTGTTGAGCAGAGAGTGGCAAATGTCTAATGCTGTTTCACAAGATGTGCTATGGCCCAATCAAGAATGAATTCTCCCAAAAAGAGAATTTTATGGTCCACAAGGAATGGTCCTTCCCTGTGCATCACAGAGAATGTAGGTAGCGGCAGAGCCACAGAGGCAGACAGCCAGGCAGAGAATGAGCTTTGGGTTAGAGTCTACAGGGCCAAGCAGAAAAGACAGAAGTCATGGCCAGGGTGATAAGGAAAACAGCCTGACAGCATTTAACAGGATTGACAGGAGACCAAACCATAGAGTTGACAGTTTCATCTAATAAAAGGCAGGTATTTTTGCTGAATAGCTCTTTCTGCTTTTTGAAATTATCCTGTTCATTATTTGCTTATTATTTCTTATTCCCCATGCACCTTCACAACACACACAGACCTACTATAGGGAGAGTTTTGAGACTACAATAAGGAAACCTGTCGGTCTTGCTCACCACTATATCCCTAGTTCATTTAACAATGTCTGGCACTGTTTGAAAACATTAAATGAATGAATTAACTATTTATGATAAGTTACTAGGTAGTTCTTACCATTCCTAGTTAACATTTGAGCCTTCCAGGCAATAATTAACATTCCCAAGGCCACAGGCTAGCATGTGCTGAAAACATTTGAACCCTGGTCTAACTGATTCCACAGGCTATAATAATAACCATTATATCCACTAAAACAGTTAATGTTAAGTAAACACTATGATCCACATCCCAGAGTTATGCTTCAAACTTTCTCAACAAAGCCTTTTGTTTCATAAATCCTGTCAAATATAGATACCCTGCTGAACACTATTTCATCCTTAAATAGGTAAGATTTTTGAACTCAGCCTGGTCAAAAGAAGCTAAGCAGCATATTACAAGATGTTGTCTTGTGGAAGCTTCTTTCTAAATGTTTTTTCTTTTTCTGGAATACTGACAAAGAAAGTGGACTAGGAAAATTATAAAGGTGAGCTGGGGCCTTAAACAATGGGCAATGATACACCAGGCAGAGAAGGGGGAATGAGAGAATCCTCAGGCGGAGAGGAGAAAATAAAGGGATCAATGTACATGGTTGTGGCCCAGTCAGGGAATAGAGCATGTTGGGAATTTAGAAAGGTGACTGAAAAGACTTAGAATGCTACAAAGATGGAAAGGGTATTTTATGCCTTACTAAAGAATTCTTTCATTTTTTTCATTCTTTCAAACACTTTATTTCTGCAAAGAAGCATAACATCAGATTTTAGAATATAAATCAGGAGAAAACAGAAAAGATACAGATTTTATATATTTTAGAACATTTGACATAAATGTAGTTGGAATTCTATTTTTTTTTTTTAATAAACTCCCTGTTGTGGTGCCAAAAATGTACCCGATGACTTCTATATCACGTTTTCTTAAAACTGTGCCAGAAACCATAAAGTGTCTGACAATTAAAATATTAAGGAAATGGGCCAGGCATGGTGGCTCATGCCTGTAATCATTGCACTTTGGGAAGCAGAGGCAGGCAGATCACAAGAGGCCAGGAATTCATGACCAGCCTCACCAACATGGCAAATCCCCATCTCTCCTAAAAATACAAAAATTAGCCAGGTTTGGTGGGATGTGCCTGTAATTTCAGCTACTTGGGAGGCCGAGGCACAAGAATCACTTGAACCCAGAAAGCAGAGGCTGCAGTAAGCCAAGATCACACCACTGCACTGCCGCCTGGGCAATAGAGCGAGACTCTGCCTCTAGAGAAAAAAAAAAAGTAATATTTATGAAATGAACTCTCCTTGTTAATAGAGAAATTACTTAATGGAGTGAAATCCTGATTCCATTCAATGCAATAAACATTTGCTAAGCTACCATTCTTCTATGTGATTCTATTTTCTGTTACGTAAATGTAAAATTTTAAAAACAGAGAATCAAAAAATCATAGAATGTAAGAGTTAGAATGGCCCTTAAATCAGGTTACCAGTCCACCCACTCCTCTAACATTGGCTGATCATTCAGCATACACTTGATACACATGGGCACAAAGGGTCCTCAAGAAGTTCATCATCTGGTACATGGGACACCACATTTTAAAGGGTTTTTTTTTTAACATGAATTTTCATACTCAGCCACACACGACCTTGTTAAAAGTCCTGTCCAGGATGCAGGCCAGATATCTGCATTTTAAGAATTCTGCATTCAAGAATAAGAAAGTAAAGCTCGCGTGGTGGCGTGCACCTGTGGTCCCAGCTACTCGGGAGGCTGAGGCAGGAGAATTGCTTGAACCCGGGAGGCGGAGGTTACAGTGAGCCGAGATCATGCCACTGCACTCCAGCCTGGCACCTGGCAACGGAGTGAGACTCTGTCTCCATGAAAAAAAAAAAAAGAAAGAAAGTAAAGCTCAAACTTGACCATGGTTACAGGTCAATTCACACGAAGGATGGAACTCTTGTAGCATGCTGCTTCCCTTTTTGCTCTTGGTAATTGTCCTAGTCCATCTGGGCTGCTATGTCAGAAATACTATTGGCTTACTTAAGCAATAAGCATTGATTTCTTACAGTTCCAGACACTGCAAGTCCTGGATCAAGGTGCTAGCAGATTCAGTGTGTAGTGAGGACCCACTTTCTGGTTCCATAGACAACTGTCTTCTCACTGTGACCTCACGTGGTGGAAGGGGCAAGGAAGCTCTTCTGGGTCACTTGTATACAAGCGCTAATCCCATTCATGAGGGCTCCTATTTAAAAGGAAATAGGATTACCAGACAAGTGGGAAAATTAGTAATGGTTAAATACTGTATCTCCTTGTTCTCACACTATATTCAACTCTCAGTCTATACTCTTAAACTCCTGAGTCCTAGAACTTAATGTAAATTTTCTCTAATTTTCAGCTTTAATTCTTCACTAATTTCATAGTGAAGAGATTTGGTACATGTAGAAAAGAAAGGTCACATCAGAAACAAAAATGTAGTGCTTTCACTTCCAACTGGTTCTTAATTTTGTCTCAGGACTTGCCTTGAATTCCTTCCTCTTCCCAGGATAATTCTGGAGCACTTAGTAATAGTTAGCTACTACATTCCTTATGCCTATTTCTACATTTTGCTCTTATTTCTATATTCTTTCCATCTAAAATCTAAAGAAACTTAAACAGAAATGTGTTCTCTTCTAAATGCTAAATTCATTACAAAAGCTTGGAAACATGGAGATGAGATCAAATGAGGTGAAAATCTACAGGGCTGAGTGCGGTGGCTCACGCCTGTAATCCCAGCACTTTGGGAGGCTGAGGCGGGTGGATCACAAGGTCAAGAGATGGAGACCATCCTGGCCAACATGGTGAAACCCTGTCTCTACTAAAAAATACAAAAATTAGCTGGGTGTGGTGGCACGTGCCTGTAGTCCCAGCTACTCGGGAGGCTGAGGCAAAAGAATTGCTTGAACCTGGGAGGCGGAAGTTGCAGTGAGCTGAGATCGCACCACTGCACTCCAGCCTAGCACCAGGTGACAGAGCAAGACTCTGTCTCAAACAAACAAACAAAACCAAAAAAAAAACCACAAAATTTATAGAGATTTTGCTTCAAGCTGAGTATCTGTCTTAGATACAAACCACTATGTTGAACCTTCCACTGAAGAGTCCTCCCACAGTTATTACTTCTATGCTCAAGTGGCCAATCTCTTCCATCCTTGACATTACACAAACCCCTGACATGCTTCTGAAGTTTTCTCCCATACAGGTTGACCATGTAATCTTCATTCTACCCCATGTGTGATAGTTAATTTTATGTGTCAACCTGTCTTTACTAAAGGATGCCCAGATAGCTGGTAAAACATGATTTCCGGGTGTGTCTGTGAGGGTGTCTTTGGAGGAGGGTAGCATTTGAATCAGTAAACCAATTAAAGAAGACTGCCCTCACCAAATGGGTAGGCATAATGCAATCCTGTGGAGGGTCTGACTACAACAAAAAGGCGAAGGAAGTGCTCTGTTTTGTTTGTCCCCCACAAAAACTCATGTTGAATTCTGATCCCGGATGTGGCGGTGTTGGGAGGTGGGACGTAGCGGGAGGTGCCAGGGTCACAGAGGCAGATCCCTCATGAATGGCTTGGTGCCATTCTTGCAGTAGTGAATGAGTTCTCTCCCTCATGAGACTGAATTAGTTCCCTCAGGAATCAGTCAGCTCCCTGAAGGCTGGGTTGTTATAAAGCCAGGACACCCCTCGGATTTGGCTTCTTCACACATGTCCACTTCTACTTTGACTTTCCAACACATTGTGACACAGCAGGAAAGCCCTCACCAGGAGACCAGCAGATGCCAGCACCACACTTCTTAAACTTCCCAGCCTGCTCAATCAATGTCTTTTCTTTATAAATTACTCAGCCTCAGGTATTCCATTATAGTAACACTAAATGGACTAAGACAGGGAGTGAAAGGGAATTTCACTTGCTGAATAGGAGCTTATAAAGACTGAGTCCCTGAATGAGCGAGGATGTGGAGAAGCAAACATTGTCAGTCAAAAGAGAGTCCAAGATTTCTGAAAGGCAGTAAGTATCCCAATTTAAAATGTGTGTTACCTTCAGACTCAGCAATTTCCACTCCTCAAAATTTATCCTATGAAAGTAACTGGACCAGAATCAGAAAACGAATACAAAGGACATCCATTGCAATTTCACTTGTAATCGTTTTTAAACTATCAAAAAACTAAATGATGATTAATAAAGAATTGGTAACATATACTATGATACAAGCATAGAACATGATACAGTTATATAAAAATGATGGTACAGCAGCAATTCTCACTTTTTGATCTCGGAATCTCTTTACAATCTTAAAAATCATGAAGAACTCCAAAGAGCTTTTGTATATGGTAGGGATCATGCAGTTGTACCACTGAGATCTCCCTTCAAAGGTGCCTACTGTGAGGAGCACAGCTGACTGCCACCCTCTAGCCTCTAGCCCTGACATCTACTGATGCACTGCAGCAAGGCTGCCCCTTTCCTGTGCTGCTTCCAGCCAATGATTGGACATGATGACAAACTCCAACTGGGCCATTTCTGCAACAATCAGCAAAAAGTACCAAAAGTTGGTTCTTTCAAAGTATGAATAAAATACACAAAACTTTGGCAAGATTGAAGAGGAAAAAAGAATAGATATCAGGAATGAAATAGAGAACCTACCTACAGATAGTTAGAAGTTTTATAAAATCATCAGTGAATATTATGAACCTTGGACAGAATGGGAAGTTTCAAAAAACAAACAAAGAAAAAACCTGTAACTTACTAAATCTGACTCTAGAAGAAACAATAAACTGAAAAGGCCTAAAACTACCAAAGACATTAAAAGAGAAGTTAAAACGTAACGATATAACAGTTGTTGGCCCTCATAGAAACCTAATCACTTTCCCTCTTTGGATAGGGAATGCCAGTGGTCTTATGCTTTAGCAGGGCTGGAGAAGTTTCACATTATCTCCACCCTACTACAGGGGCAGAAGTTCAGGGGCACAGTTAAGATGACTCAGAGAAGATGAAATTAGTCACAGGTCAACCCTTCAGATCAATTTGTGTACTTAGGGCATTAACCCAGGAGTGTCTTGAACAATGGAATGTCGCCATGCCTTTTCAACAGGAAGTCGGGGGAACACGCGATTGGTTTTCAGTTTTGTAACAGACAACACACATTGCTGGTGTAACAAAGCAGCTTCGAAGAGATGGAATGTGTGCGCCGTGTTACGGAACTCGGTACCCACTGAGGTCTGACAGCTAAACATGATTACATGTTTGCAAGGCAAAACAAAACAGAAAACAGGCAAAGCAGCTGGAGTGGATTCAGAACAAAAGTGTCTTAAAAATTTATCAGTGCCCGTAGGTCAGAGTGTCCACAGCACTCATTTTATCTGGACAAATACCAGTAGCCTTTCGTATCCTAACCCGCTTCTGTTCCCGGGGTCGCCGGCCGTGGCCCCATGCCCGAGTTTCTGAAGCCACCCGAGCGCCAGACGCCACAGTTCCTCCTTCCTCTTGGCAACCTCTCGGGCCGCCGCCCTCCTCGGTCCTCCCCGCGTCCCCAGCGCCCACAGCCCTCCCTGCGCCCCGGCGGCGACCCACCTCCTCCGCGTCCTGGCCCAGGGGGATGCCCAGGTTCTTGAGCCCCTCCTGCAGCTCGCCGATGTCCACCACTCCGTCCCCGTTGCGGTCCAGAGCCTGGAAGAGGGTCTCATAGCGCGTCGGCGGCTCCGCCTCCTGGCAGGCCGCGGTGGGCAGCACAAAGCCCCGCAGCCAGCGCAGCAGGCTCCCGGAGGCGCGGGCGGCCGGGCCGAGGAAGTCACGGGAGACCGGGGGCAGCGGGGCGCGATCAGGAACCGCGCGATGCCTGGCTGGGAGGGGCGCGCGGCGCAGCAGCGTTCGGGGCGCCGGCGGGGCGCGGCTGCGGCGCGCACGGCGCAGGAGCGGAGACCCAGCCCGGGCCCGCGCGGCGCGCAGGGTGTGGCCCGTCCCGCCGCCGCTGGGGAGGAGCTGGCGTCGCCGGACTCCACCGGACTGGCCGGGCCGCCTCCGGAGGGCAGGAAGTGAGGGAGCGGCGGGCTGGGTCTCGGGAGGGGCTGTGCGGCCCGGGGCGACACAGTTCCCAGTGCCGCTGTCAGCGGTGCGGGTGCCAGAAGGAAGCCCCCGGAAAGTCCTGGGCTGGAGCGTCGGCGCAGTGGCTTGGGAGCGGGGACTGGAAGAACCGTTACTCTGCTGAAAGACCCCCTCGGGCCGGAGCCTTAGCGGACCGCCCAGAGCTGCTTCTCTCTGCCTGGAAACTGGGCTGTGGTGGGCGTTGTCTCTCACGGATCTCTAACTTTTTCGTGGTTGCACACCTAGGATGGAGACTGTGCTTTAAGAAGCAGAGAGTTAGGCGGGTGGATCACGACGTCAAGAGATCGAGACCATCCTGGTCAACATGGTGAAACCCCGTCTCTGCTAAAAAACTACAAAAAATTAGCTGGGCATGGTGGCGCGTGCCTGTAATCCCAGCTACTCAGGAGGCTGAGGCAGGAGAATTGCCTGAACCCAGGAGGCGGAGGTTGCGGTGAGCCGAGCTCGCGCCATTGCACTCCAGCCTGGGTAACAAGAGTGAAACTCTCTCAAAAAAAAAAAAACAAAGCAGTGAGTTAAATCTTAAAGTATCTATTGGAGCAATTATAAAAACAAAAAGGAGAAAACCCAGGATTTGTTGAAGAAAAGATCAACAGCCATCCGTGTGGGCAATGGGAAAAAGAGGGACTAGTTTGGCAGACAGCTTAGCTAGGATTTGTCTGTGATTACGCGTGTACAGTGTCTGCCAGCTGCACTTATCCGAAGAACATCAGCACCCTCCTCCTTCTCAAGATGGGTGCAGTTCTGAGGTTTGGAATTTATTACTCAGGAAAGAACTTGTTACTGCCTAGCATGGAATAAAGAAAGGAACATTGGACTTAACAGAGAAAGTACCTAATCTTTCAGATATGGCGTGGCCTCTCCGGGTAGTCTCGCATCAGTAAAATGAGAATATAAATACCTGCCTTCACAACAAGGTTGTATAGTATGTGTGAAAGGTCTTAATTCTCCAAGGCGCCAATCAAATGAGATATCATTAATTGTAATAATTGTGTTCATTCACAGATGCTTAAGAGGAACTGTTGTTGTACTGCGGCTTGCAGGAAAGAAGACACCTGTGTACTTGTAAATTAGGCTGTCTCACATCTTCTGAATCACTACACAGAAATCAGTTGTTCCACGAAAGCCAGGAACTCAGATGCTGAACTTACTTTTCCTTATATTATTTTATATGTTTAAGACATGTATGAATCTAGAATGTGCAAGTTAAGGGCTGCCTGCTTAGTAAAATCATCCTGAAACCGATTTATCTTTTCATATGACTTCCAGCTTCCAGTCTTACTAAGAATTATCGCCTTCTTTTGGGACTGCCTTCAAACTTCAACAAATTTTCTATTTGTCCTTGAAAACCTCTTTTAATCCTACTATGAATACTCTGTACTTGGAAAGAGGCTGCTTGAATTAGTCATCTCACACTTACATGCTTTCATTTTACTTTTTTTTTTTTTTTTTGAGATGGCATCTCGCTCTGTTGCCCAGGCTGGAGTACACTGGCGAGATCTCAGCTCACTGCAACCTCCTCCACCGAGGTTCAAGCAATTCTCCTACCTCAGCCTCCTGAGTAGCTGGGACTACAGGCCATTTTACTTTTTTAAAAAAAGTAACACTTAGAAGAATTACCTGTCAACGTTTTTGTTGAGAAAATTACCTTCACACAGAAACTTCCACTTGAGTGTTTATAGCAGTTATATTCATAACTGTCGAGTGCAGAAACAGAGTGTTCTTTAATGGGTGAACTAGTGAACAACCTGTGTTGCATTCATACAGTGATACTAATCAGCAATAAAAATTACTGATACCTGTCAACAATGACATTCTGGAAAAGAAACAGAAAACAAATCAGTAATTGTCAGGGGCTGGGACTCAGACGAGGGAAATTAATGACAAAAAAAAAAAAACATGAGAAGGCTTGTGGGGGCGATGGAACTGTTTTACATCTTGCTTATGGTGATAGTGGTTACACAACTCTATGTATGTGCCAAAAGCAACAGAACTGCATACTAACATGGGTTAATTTACTTTGGGATATCTCAATAAATCTGACTTAAACATGGGTAAAGTGGAATACGAATTCTTAAAAGATCACTGTGAAAATAAAGTGGCTTATGAATAGTTATGAAGTATGGGCCTCACACCAGCAGCATGGGTGTCACATCAGTGTCACTGTAAAAAATCAAAGAGTTTATGAAGTGTGGGCTGCATACCAGCAGCATCAGCTGTCAGAAATAATCTCAGGCCTGCGCAAGCCTACTAAATACGCATGGCATGTATACCAGAACCCCGGATGAGCATTTCATAAAATTGGAGAGGCACTGCTAGGACGAAGCAAACCACTCAAGTGTGGTTTGCACACTGATGCCAATCTGCAAGCTGTTACCTGTCTGCAATGAGTCAGACGTTGAGAGGAAGGACTTAGAAACTTCAGAGCAATTTGAAAAAATGATTTTGTGTGTTATACCTAATAATAAAAACTCAGAGCTTGTCTTTTTAATTTCAATTTTCCAGTATTGCATTTTTACTGTATTTTACAAAAACATGTCTGCAATGAATTGAGATAACACCATGCAGATAAAAGGTGTAATTAACATTAACAACTTCCTGCATAAGAGAAGAAACTTTTATATGGACATTTAAACATCTGCATGAAAGAAGGCATCCCTGCCCACTTCTACTGGCAATTCCCCCAAACCAGTGGTTCCTAGAGGACAGTAGCAGAAACCCTGAATTGACACTTCCTGAATTCATTTCCTTGGTCAGAACAAAAGTCTAGGGTTCAGCCCAATTTAGCTACTTCTATTGTCCCAAACTTCTAGCCTTCTCATGTACTACCATTTTCCATTGGAACAACTTTCAGACTTGATCAGTTTCAATCCTTGAAGATCTCTTTGAGCACCTACTTTGTAATCTTTGAATAATCATTCTAGATGCTGCTAGTTTTAGCTGGTAAACATGTTTACCCTTTCTATCCATTGAACCACTCACTAACAATAGCTAACAAGACCAAAATATCTGCCTCTCTACAAGCACCAATTCTATTTCAAAATCCTTCAAGAATATTCAGGAAGGAAACAAAGAGCCTGGTCATTGCTCCCTCAAATTTGAGTAATCATAAAATAGGCTCTGTAAGAGAATTTGATTGGTTCACTGTAAAACCGTAACCATTACTGGAAGGATAATTATTTTTTCATTATATTTTAAGTTCTGGGATATGTATGCAGAATGTACAGGTTTGTTACATAGGTATACATGTGCCATGGTGGTTTCCCGTACCCATCAACCTATCATCTACAGTAGGTATTTCTCCTAATGCTATCCCTCCCCCCTTACTCCCACCTCCCGACAGGCCCCATTGTGTGATGTTTCCCTCCCTGTGTCTCATTGTGTTCTCATTGTTCAACTCCCACTTATGAGTGGGAACATGCAGTGTTTGGTTTTCTGTTCCTGTGTTACTTTGCTGAAAATGATGGTTTCCAGCTTAATCCATGTCCCTGCAAAGGATGTGAAATCATTCTTCTTTATGGCTGCTTAGTATTCCCTGATGTATATGTACCACATTTTCTTTATCCAGTCTATCACTAATGAGCATTTGGGTTGGTTCCAAGTCTTTGCTATTGTGAATAGTGTTGTAATAAACATATGTGTACATGTGAATGATTTATAATCCTTTGGGTATATACCCAGTAATGGGATTGCTAGGTCAAAGGATTTTTCTGGTTCCAAATCCTTGAGGAATTGACACTCTCTTCCACGATGGTTGTGTTGTATTTGACCGGAGCGTAGAAAGTTACCACAAAACAAAAGTATGCCAGATTGCAGGGTCATTTATTTATGCCGGCGACCACAGAGGACTCACGTCTCTTCAACCTGTGGTGCCAAAAGGAGGGTGCCATGATTTTTTATACCCGAAAAACCACCTTGGGAGTAGGGGTGAGGGGCGGGGATGGGGATGATAAGGTTTCGGACATTCCAAGGGCTAGGGGATTCTGTGATTCACCTCCTGGGTGGAGACAAGGGCGGGGGTCTCCAGACATTCCAAGGTCTAGGGGACTTTTGTCATTCTGTTTGTTACCTCAGTGGTTTACAGAAGTCAGGATATACATTTGTTTACACATCGTCTGGGTGGTGATGGAAGTCACAGATTTTAGCAGTTACTGATAAGAAAAGGTAAGCAGCTTTACATAGTTTTGAGGAACAAACTGGCAGTTCTATTTACAGAGGCCAAGGACAGTAGTTATTGTAAGGAGAATGGGGCAGCCATTTCAACTTATCTAAAAACAGTTTTGCATTTTATAAAATAGTTTTGCTCCGGTTCTGGCTCTAGGCCAGCACAATATCACAGTTGAACTAATTTACACTCGCACCAACAGTGTAAAAGTGTTCCTATTTCTCCACATCCTCTCCAGCATCTATTGTCTCCAGATTTTGGAGCATAGCTTTTTGATGTGCTGTTGGTTTTGGCTTGCCAGTATTGTATTAAAGATTTTTGCATCAGCTTTCACCAGGGATATTGCCCTTAAATCTTTTTTTGTTGTGTCTCTGCCAGGTTTTGGTATCAGGATGATGCTGGCCTCATAAAATGAGTTATGGAGGATTCCCTCTTTTTCTGTTGTTTGGAATAATTTCAGAAGGAATGATACCAGCTCCTCTTTGTACCTCTGGTAGAATTCGGCTGTGAATCCATCTGGTCCTGGGCTTTTTTTAGTTGGTAGGCTATTAATTACTGCCTGAATTTCAGAACTTGTTTTGGTCTATTCAGGGATTTGACTTCTTCCTAGTTTAGTCTTGGAAGGGCATATTTGTCCAGGAATTCATCCATTTTCTCTAGATTTTCTAGTTCACTTGCCTAGGGGTGTTCATAGTATTCTCTGATAGTAGTTTGTATTTATGTGGGATCACTGGTGATATCGCCTTAATCATTTTTTATTGTGTCTATTTGATTTTTCTCTCTTTTCTTCTTTATTATTCTGGCTAGTAGTCTATTTTGTTAATATTTTCAAAAACCTGGCTCCTGGATTTAGTGATTTTTGAAGAATTTTTTGTGTCTCTGTCTCATTCAGTTCTGCTCTGATTTAGTTATTTCTTTTCTTCTGCTAGCATTTGAATTTGCTCTTGCTTCTCTAGTTCTTTTAATTGTGATGTTAGTGTGTCAATTTTAGATATTTTC